TCAACTATCCCTTTTTGGCTTTTAAAATGCTGTCGGGTTTTGTCCTGTTAGGAACAGGGTCTGAAGTGAAGCCAGTTAACTAAGATTAAGGTATCTGAAAGTGCCTGGCTCGGGGGAGGCACTCAATAAATCCCCTCCCAAAGTCAGTCACCTTGGATAGAAAGATTTCTTGCCAGGGTATATTCAAGGAGCTTCCTGTTCACAGGAACCGTTAGCTACAGTTCTGGGAATACTGAAGAAGTGCTGTATTAAAGTAATACATCAGACAATCCTTCTAATTTTCATGGGCCTAATCTGCCTCTTGGGTGAATCATTTATTTTTACCACTTATACCGTATCTTGGCTCCGGAGCCTGCCTACTGTATCATTCCATTCCATCCTGGATTCTCCTATGGGGAGCCAAGTACACATGATGGCCCCACAGGTCTTGGTCATAGTACCTATCGTCTGGGGGCCAATCAAGGAAAACTACCACTGGATGCTAGAACTCCAGCTATCATGACCATACTCCAAGAAGCAGAGAAGAGGTAGCTTTTTTTTTTTGAGATGGAGTCTTGCTCTTGTCATGCAGGCTGGAGTGCAGTGGCACCATCTCAGCTCACTGCAAACCTCCACCTCCTGGGTTCAAGCAATTCTCCCTCCTCAGCCTCCTGAGTAGCTGGGATTACAGGCGTGCGGCACCATGCCCGGTTAATTTTTGTATGTTTAGTAGAGACAGGGTTTTGCCATGTTGGCCAGGCTGGTCTCAAACTCCTGACCTCTGGTGATCCACCACCTTGGCCTCCCAAAGTGCTAGGACTAGAGGTGTGAGCCACCGTGCCTGGCTAGAGGTAGCCTCTTTGGAGAGCTTTTCTGGAAGCATCCACTCACATCTTAGTGGCCAGACTTAGTCCTGTGGCCAGCTGTCATCTTTGAGCTGGGCATATTGCTGTTCTTCACGAAACAGGCCTTGAAACTATGGGAGATGGGAGAACAGCCACTGGGGAGCACAGTAGCCACCTCTCTCACTTCAACCTATGCCTGACCCTGCTAGATGCTACATTTTGCCTGATCACAGGTACATCCTAGTTCTCAAGGATCCCACATATATATACTATTTCTCTTCTTGAAGAGTATGGAAGGATAAAGAAGGTAGAGTTTGGCAAGAGATAGTCTGGGCTTCCTAAGGCCATTTAGTGTGGGGACAGATAGTGAACTTGCAGTGGTGAGGCAGATAAATCAGTTTCCAAGTGGGCTTTCTCCCAGATGCCAGAGACCCTGGCTGTTCCTGTTTCATCATGCAGTCTATTAACAAAGGTTTTACTTAGGAAAAATATGTGGCACAAGTGCTACCCTCTCCCTCACTCCTCCCCTCATGGCGGCTCCCTTCTCTGCTAAGCTGGAACATGACCTCAGAATCCTCCTCAACACAACATCCCTGGCAGTTACTCTGGTCCAAAAGACTTGGCACTACTACTTAAAACTATTAGCCATCCTTATTTTCTTGCGGGAATTTTTATTTGGATAGAGAATTTCTGGGTAGTTCCTAATTTCATGGAAATAAATTTCTCATGGTGCAATTTGAGGTATATGCCCAGGCGATAAATGTAGATATTTATAGGCGGCAGGCGTGGCATTCCTTAGATTTCACCACTCAGTGGCTGCAATCACTCTCATTACTGGAAACTTGTTCTTGTGATTGTTTAACTTACTGGACTGTGAGTTTCTCCAGAATGGAAACTATAATCCACTTTTGTATCCTCATGGTTCCTGGCTCAGTATACTCTCAAAAATGTTATCCATAAATGAGTCACCTGCCTTGATCAAGGTCAAGTGGCTATCAAAGTAAATACTTCCCCTGTAGCTGGTTACACTGTGGACTGCCTACCACCAAGGACAAAAGGCAGGACTCATTTGGAGAGGAGGTTGGTGACAGGAGGAGCATCAGTAGCACAACACACAGAAGGTCTTGGTTATTCCACAACTGCCTTAGAAATGCTTGAGTAACTGTCATGAGAAACTGACTAGCAGGTGAAAGGGCAGCCATACCCCGAGGAGACACTACACGTTTTCCTTTTCACAAAAGGTTCAGGTCCTGGGCTAACTCAGCTCAGTGTTTTCCGTGTTCCAGGAGGTGACTCAGGCAGTTGTGCAAATGACTGACTCATATTTCATGGATATGAGTATGGCTGATGTAAGACTGCAATTATCTCCTCCTGATTCAATTAAGGTAGCCTATTCTTGATTGTTTTTATAAGTAGATCTATAAATTATACAAGTTGATACTAATATTGCTTACGTTTTAAATAGTGTGGTTCCACAGAAAATTTTGTTTTTTTCTGTGAAAAACAAAGCTACTATTGCTAAAACAGCGTCGAGAGCACTGACTTAGCTATAGTCCATCTGAGTTTTTTTTTTTTTCTGAGACAGAGTCTCGCTCTGTCGTCCAGGCTGGAGTGCAGTGGCGCGATCTCAGCTCACTGCAACCTCCGCCTCGCGGGTTCAGGCCATTCTCCTGCCTCAGCCTCCCGAGCAGCTAGGACTACAGGTGCCCGCCACCACACCTGGCTGATTTTTTGTATTTTTAAAAGAGGCAGGGTTTCACCGTGTTAGCCAGCATGGTCTTGATCTCCTGACCTTGTGATCCACCTGCCTTGGCCTCCCAAATTGCTCGGATTACAGGTGTGAGCCACCATGCCCGGCCCACCTAAGTTTTATATTTACCTGGTTACAGTGATCAAATTATTCAACAGTGATCATGGAGAAAGGTGAAACAAAATAATTCCCAAAAGATTCTTTCTGCTCAAACAGCAGGGTGGGTATGAGTAGATCCAGGCCAATTTCTTTTTTTTTTTTTTTTTAAGAGACAGGGTCTCACTCTGTCACCTAGGCTGGAGTGCAGTGGTGCAATCATAGCTCACTGCAGCCTCCAACTCCCAGACTCAAGCCATCCTCCTAATCCTCCTCAAGCTTGAGGACAGGCCTTGTTACAGTGCTCAGTGTGTACCTCTCCCCTTCCCCACTCCCCTTGTCCACATTCTGGGCTAGATCCACACTCTACTGAGGAACTGTCCCTGTATTTTGATTCCCGAGTGACACAGTGCTGGAGATGCTGTGGCTAGATACACGTTATTTCTGCATATGGCTATTCCTCAACCTTGTTGCCTGTCTTCTTACTCTGGTCTGAGGGCTGAACCCCACAGAAATAACAAGGCTACCCTCATCCCTTTCTCTCCCTTAAAGGTTAGTACTAGTCCTAAGTGGTCAGCTCCCAGCTTCCTTTAGGACAGAAAAAAGAGGAGAGAAGCAACACTTGTTTTTCTACTCACAAAGTCCCGGAGATGGGAGGTAGGAGGTTGGCGTGGATGTAGCTTGGACTTCGGAATTTAGAAACAGGTTCAAATCCCCAGTTAGGACATTTCTCAGTATTTTGATCTTGCATAGGTTTACTTATCAGAGTTAAAGTGTCTATTTATAAAATGGGGTACAACTTATCAGATTTAGATGTAAGAAATAGTATAGTGCATGGCAGCTAGCAGGGTTTCAACAAATGACATCTCTCATTACTATCATTTTGACATCACATTTCTCTGCTTAGAGTTGGTTACTGTTCTGCAATTTTTCCCAAAGTGTCACTGTGTGTCAGGCAGGGAGCATCTGCCTGGAGGAGTCTGAAGTGTGCATGTAGGGTGGGTGAGTTGCGGGGGTCGGCAACCAGGCAAATCACTAGCGAGGCTTTAGTACCTATCTTTTCTCTCCAGGATTCTTGACCAAAAGTTACACTCTAAAGTCCAAACAGGTACATACCTAAGGGGAATATGGTGGAAATGTCAAAGAGGAGATAGGCATGGTGCGGGGGCAGAAAAATCCCGGCAGACCACAGGCTGTACCACCCTTTGTTAAGGGTATGTGGCTACATTGATCTCTGGTCTTCCAGATGCTCTTCCCAGTTAACACTGCCCAGTGACCTGCCTGGACAGGAAGCAAGTCACCTTAGTGCCACTGTCTCTTTCTCCTCTTAAGCCCTCAAACCATAATTGAATGTAAATGTTATACATTTTATAATGAAATAAAAATTGCGTAATGCGCCTAAGTAGATATGCCACACACCTATGGTTCAATGACTGAATGCTGACTTTCATATATGGCCCAAATTACAAAGCAGCAATCAGAACAGACAACAAGGGAACTCCTCTCCCAAGGGTTCAGCAATCTGACCCAAACTGCATAGCCCAGACAATCTGAATACACACATGCAAGTGTAAATATGCCCCAATCAGCTTTCCCCGGAAGCAGGAAGGTCTACACAGCCTCAATGAAGAGCACTATTTTGGACTGTTGCTGTCTACCCACCCTCTCCAGGGCTGTAATTCTTTAGAATTCCCCTTTCACACTTCTTTTCTCATCTGGTCAGCATTACCACTTTGCAGCCACTTATTTTCCATGGATATCTGCCACTTATCCTAACAAATAGCATTAATACAGAGGAGAGCATGGAGCTTTTAAAATATGGACTAATAAATGTATAAACAGTACTTTGAAAGGGAGAGAAAGCACAGGTTAAAATATGGCTAGATGTAGAGAATTAAATGAAATGTTTATAAAGCCTTTCACAAGATGTCCACACATTGCTGATGCTAGACAAATACCAAGTCCCTTATTCCTTCTCTTCCCTTTTAGTACCTGGATTTGTCACTAACAGGTACTGAGGTCTGAATAAATCAAGGCATGATTTCATTTCTGGGCCTCAGTTTCCTCATATAAAAAATTAAGATAGCTGTACTATCATACTAACTAGTCTTTTTTTCAAGAACTAGTTCAAAAAATTCCCAGACCCCCCACCCCCCGACCAGACTCTCCTCCTGACTCTCCTCAGTAAATATTTGGAAAAAGGGTGGGAAGTTTGTTTCTCCACCTTATATTCTTCCCAATAAAGGCAAGAAAAGTCAGGGATGGGCGTCGGGAGGGAATGCTAACCAACATTTACTGTACTTCTCTCACAGCCAGGAACGTTCACATACCTTGATCTTAGTCAGCTGGCCTAAGTGAACTTGTCCCCATCACGACAAAACCCGAAGGCATTCTAAAAGCAAAGCAAAGCAAGGCCAGTGGATGAATTTTGTTAATTTAGTTCTCTACCTCACGTTAACCTCCAAGGAACTCAAAAAAAACTCCACAGCGAATTCAACATTAAAATAGCTCTGGGACCTCAAGATTTATTTCACAGCTTAAAACAAGGTCACCATCAAGTTCTCGGCAAAGCTCAAAATATAATAAAAGAGAGAGCTCCCAAATCAAGGCCCAACTTCTTTTAAATGCTAAAACAAAAACAAAACCCGGGTGCCGTGGCTCATGCCCATAATCCCAGGGGAGACCGAGACGGGAGGATTGCTTGAAGCCAGGAGTTCGATACCAGCGCGGGTTACGAAGTGATATCCCATCTCTACAAAAAGTTAACACAGACACACACTCACATCCACCACCTTAGCTTGGCTTAGGGGCGGAAGCCCGCGTTACGAAACGAGATCTCATCTCTACAAAAAGTTAACACACACACACACCCTACCTTAGCCTGATGTAGTGGCGGTGGCCTGTAGTCCTCACTGCTTTGGAGACACACACACACACACACACACACACACACACACACACACCCCCCTACCTTAGCCAGGGGTGGTGGCGCGCGCCTGTAGTCCCGGCTACTTTGGAGGCTGAGGCGGGAGAATCGCTTGAGCCCAGGAGTTCGAGGCTGCAGTGAGCCGAGCTTGCGCCACTGCCCTCCAGCCTGGGCGACAGACCGAAACCGTATCTCTAAAAAAATAAATTAGAAAAAGAAGAAGACAAAAAGAACAAGACCGGTCTCGGAGAGGCAGGCGCAGCCTCAGCTCCCTGGGCCTGCGTCCCCAACCCGGCCCCGGCTGCACTCGCGCCCGCTGCGGGTCCCGGGGACACACCTCGCACGCCGCGCTAGACCCCGTTCCGTCCAGCCCGGGGGAGTGGAGGAGGCAGAGGCCAGGTGGGGAAGGGCCTCCAGAAACTGAGCTCCCGACGACGTCTCCCGCGACCCCAGCGCCGGAGAGAGGCGCGGCCCCCGGGAGCGATCCCACATCCGCGCAGGGCCGCGCAGGGCCGCGCAGGGCCGCGCCGCCCCGGCCCTCCCCGCGGCCGCCGATCTGCTTCCAGGGCAGAGGGAAGGGGCGGTAACGGGGCGGGGCGGGGGCTGCGGCGAGGGCGGGCGCCGCTGGCGGGGGAGGGCCGTCAGCATCCTCCCTGGCCGCACCGCGCCGCGCGGGGCCCAGGGGCCGCGCCCACGCCCGCTGCCCGCTAGCTCGCCGGCTAGTCCAGTAGTCCGGCGCTGACACGCGTGCCCCCAGCTTGAACCGGAACCTCTTGAGGAGGCGGCCGCCGCCGCCGGGGAAGCGGACACCGACTAGGAAACGCGGGGGGAGGCGGCCTGCGCGGCGCCGCCCGCCATGGCCGCGGCGGGGTGAGGTAGGCGCGGCGGCCGCAGTCGCGCGGACCCGAGCGCTCCTCCGCCGCGGATAGGCCGGCCGAGGGGGAGCCGGGGCCGTCGCCCGCTCGTCGCCGCCGCCCGCTCGTCGCCGCCGCCGCCGCCCATGGCGAGGCCCCGCCGCCGCCGCCGCTGCTGACCCGGCGGCCGGCCGCGGCTTCCGCCCCCTCCCTTGGCGGCGAGCGGGCGGGCCTCCCCACACGCCCCCGCCGCCCGCGCCCCGCGTCTGCCCGACCCGGGTCGGGGAGAACAGGACCGCAGCAGTAGTCGGGGGGCCGCCGAAGATGGGGAACACTACCTCGTGCTGCGTGTCGTCCAGCCCCAAGCTCCGGAGGAATGCCCATTCCCGGCTGGAGTCCTACCGGCCGGACACAGACCTGAGCCGCGAGGACACGGGCTGCAACCTGCAGCACATCAGTGACCGGGAGAACATAGACGGTGAGTGCGGCCCGCCAAGCCCCCTGCCCTTCCCCGGGGCTTCAGCCGCACACCCAGCGTCGGGGCGGCCCGGCTGCACTTGCTTGCTCAGCCGGTCTCGGCGACCCTTGCATAACGGGGGCTTCGCCCGCGCAGCCGAGGCGCCCAGGGCCCCGCAGCCTCCGGGCGTACCCCTGGCTAGTTACCCCCAAGTGAGCGGCCGCGGAAACTTTGCAGGCCCGCGGCAACCAGCACGGCGGGCCGGGGGCGGGTGTGTGCGCGTGGGTCGCGAGGTGACAGGAGCCGGTCCTCGTCCTTAATGGAGCGGCCAGCGCTGGGCAGGGGCGGCCCGGGAGCTCGGGGTTCCAGGCATTACCTGAATGCAGCCCGAAGCCAAGTTGTGCACGTGTTTGTCCTGTAAAAGCGAAGTGAGTGGATTCCCATTTTGGAATCCCGGTGTCTCCAACCTGGAGTTGGAAAACATGTTGCCTTGAGTCAGTTCCTCGGAAGCTTACAAATGGACTTCACTTGGCTGACCCCCATTCCCATTCTCCCGTTTTTTTAAAAAAGATGTTTTTGAGTGGCGGTTCCGGGATTAGAGTGGCATAGCTTCTCCCGAGAATGCTCTTTAAAAGATTGTCAAGACACCTTTGGGTTAAGTCACCCACTTTTTGCATGGGCCCGAATTGCAGTCCTATGAATTTATGATTTATTCAGGTGACTTTTGGTTGGACTGGAGTTTACAAAAAGAAAAAAAGCTAAGATTACTGCACGCAGTAATGTTTTATTTTATTGGTTTGGCAACATATTTATTAGCACTGTTGCGCAATGATATCGACAGAGGGATATTTATGTATCATGCTTAAAATATAGTTTATAGAATTTTCAACTGAAAAGATTTGAAATTGGAAATGTCTTTTTATGACAACGTGATTTTTTTTTTAACCAAACATCTTCTCATAATCTGCTTGAACTAATATGAAAAAATTTTTGTGTGAATGAATGAACACAACTCCATAATTCATTCCTGTCGACTTTAGGATGGAATATTCTCTCTACTGTGGAAAGGCCACGTTTAAACTCTGCTAAAGGAAAGATTTTTCTCGTTTGTCTTTGTGTAATTTCTTCCAAGTGGTAATTTCATCTTTTTAGGAGGGCATCTTTATTAAATGAGTGCCATGTATAAAGAGACTAACATAACGTCTGGTTTCTAGTACGCGCTTAGTAAACTATCATTCCATATGATGTTTCTAGTGTTGTTATTTTAGATTTCCGTTATTTTAAACGTATTCTTAGATGTTTGAACTACAGCCATATTTTCTTCTTAAATCTGTGCATTAAAGGCATTTAAAGAAGGATGAAGGCCACATCAGTCTTGATCAGTTTCACAGCCTCTAGCATCTGAAAGAAAAGTCTAGCATATAACAAACATTCAGTAAGTATTGCACTTTAAAGGGAGGAGTAAATGAATAAATTTATTACAGAAAGCCATTACCCAGTCCTATACTATGTTGACAGGCGAAAACATTTGGAAATAATTTCTTCTTTATGCTGTGCAGTAAATTTCTTTATGTTGTGCCATATCTAGCGGAGGCTTTATGTTTTGAATGATGGATCCAAAAAAAAGAAAAAAGAAAAGAAAAAAACACAAAAGATTTACATTTCTTAGAGCCAGGCTGCATAGTTATTATAGACTATATTAAAGAAATATGGTGGAAAATATAAGTGTAACCAGGTATTTGGCACCAAGGCTTAGTACAATTTTGCCAGAGTACAGTGAAATGATGTTTTGTGTTCTTTCATTTCAAAGAAATCTTAAGTTTCAGTCATTAGGAATTTTTGAGAGAACGTTTGGAAGACTGTTTTGCAGATTCAGCGTAGTTTAAGAGAGTATAGGGTAGGTTTCCAATCTAGGCTGTGGAGTGTCCTCTCATCCCAGATCCCAGTTCTTATGATTATGCTAGTTTAAACCCCAAAATACTAGTTCATCTTCTGTCTCTCAGATTCAATAAATAATACTTTCAGCATTGACCCAGCCAGCAGTTCTCAACATTGGTTTCAGTTAAACTAGAAATCTAGTACTGTACATTGCCATTAATATGTTTAATTAAATCTCTCCAAGGTGGTACTAAGATGCAGGTAGGCCTGAGAATTGTTGGCTGGACGAATCTTGGAAGTGTTACCTGCTGTTCAGGGACATTTTTGGTAGAAATTCATTATTAGAGGCTGAGAGAAGAGAACAGTTTTAATTAAATAGTGTGTATATATGCACACAACATCTATATGTCTGTATTTGCTAATCTGTATCTGTATGTATTTGAACTGAGTTACGTTGATTGTTAGGTTATTAGTAAACATTTTAAAACTAGATTTTAAGAATTATTGATTCTAGTATATATCAAAAGCTGAAGTACTCAAGTACCATTTTTTTTTTTTATGTCCTGAAAAACATCCCACCCAGCTGGTTTAGAAAGGTTTGAAGTTCATGGGTCTTCTATGATAGGTTAGCGTCTTTAAATCACAGAGATATGATATATGTATCCATGTTTTCTTTCCTCTGTCACCAAACACATGAAGGGATAATATTTGTCCTGTAGAATTTCAGTAACAATTTTAGAGTCCGGGTACTTAGATGTCTGTGGTGCTTTATGGCAACTTAATGTGTCTTTGTACTCAGTGTATCTTAGTGTTAGGTGATTCATGTTTTTGAAATTGGTATTAGACTCATGCTCCCCAGGTATTATTTTTTATAAAATCATTCAGAGATTGAGAAAAAACAACAACACATAAGAACAATGATAATAATCTTCAGAGCAATTCTTTAGGAAAAGAAAAAAAATGATAGTAATAATTGCAACCTATGTATTACTTTGTCTGTACCAGCTGCTGCTCTAAGTACTTGGATTCCATTCATTTACTTAGAACTCACAGTAACCCTATGGGTAATATTATCCTTACTTTAGGACAAAGAAATGAGTCATTGAGAGGAGAAATGACTTGCCCAAAGTCACACAGCCAATACGTGGCAAGTGGAAACTTTCCATTGTTGCTTGACTTAGCCATCAAATGTTAGCTAATCTGGGGTTGCCTTCTGGGGTAGGGTGTCTTGTCATTGCAGTCATATCCATACTTTCTCAAAGATAAACAGCTTCTGTCTGCAACAGTTATTCAGTCCAGACTTCCAGGACTACATTATTTCTGTGGGAGGAAAAAGGGAGGGAGGGACTAAAGAAAATTTAAAATGTGAGGAGACCAAATAAATCAGGATACTTGTAACAGCTGTACCATAGAGTCTTTGTAGGGTTTTACCTCAAAATGGTTAATGGCAACTTCATTTTTTTTTTTTTTTTGAGATGGAGTTTTGCTCTGTCACCCAGGCTGGAGTGCAGTGGCACAATCTTGGCTCACTGCAACTTCCGCCTCCCCAATTCAAGCGATTCTCCTGCCTCAGCGTCCCAAGTAGCTGGGATTACAGGCATGTGCCACCATGCCCGGCTAATTTTGTATTTTTAGTAGAGGTGGGGTTTCTCCGTATTTGTTAGACTGGTCTCGAAATCCCAACCTCAGGTCATCTGCCCACCTTGGCCTTCCAAAGTGCAGAGATTACGGGGGTGAGACACCGCTCCTGGCCCATTCTTTTCATTTTTATAGCTTACCTGTCATACTTGACAACTCACTTTCTCCCTCGTCTTGTATCATATCTGGTAGGAAAGTGTGGCTGTCCGTCCTCAGAATACATCCAGACTTTGACCACTCTCAAGACCTCTACTGCTGCTGTTCTGAAGATCTAAGCAGCTGCCGTCTCCCCCAGCCCACCTGGTCTCCCTGCTTCCACCCTTGCCTGCTCCAGTCTATTCTCAACACAACAGCCATGGCTGAGATCCTTTAAAAAACTTTAACTTATTCCTTCACTCAAAAACGGCAGTGACGCCTCATTGCACAAGTAAAAGCCGTACGGTGGTCTTCAGGGCCCCTTGGGATCTGCCTGCCATCAGCTCACTCTGTCGTTCATTCCAACCACATTGGCCTCCTTCCCTGCCCCTCCTGGAACATACCAGACACAAACTTCCACCCCTGTTCTCTCCCTCTGCCTGAAGTGTTCTCCATGTGCTCTCTTGGCTGAGTCCCTTTATCACCTGCAGCCTTGGTTCAAGCCTGACCTTTTCAGGGAGGCCCTCCCAATCACCTTTAAACATCCTTTCTGCTGCCCACTGGCAATGCCAGTGCATATTCTCTGCACTCCTGTTTCTTTATTCCCTAATATCTCATGATACACTGTATAAGTATAAACATAAATAATAGCTACTTTCACCTACTAGCATGTAAGTTCCAGTAGAATATTTGTTTGGTTCACTGATGTAACCTAAGTGCCTAGAGTAGCACCTGATTCCTTGAAGATACTATAAATATTTGTTGAATGAATTTGTTGAGTGAAACCAACCATTGAAAGATGTGAGTGAGAACATCATCGCGTGTATTTATTGGGTGAGGGGAAACAGGAGGGAAGAAGAAAATGAAGAGGATTTGTCATAATGAAAGTAGCATGGATGTGAAACTTTTTGGCTTTGTAGTTTAACCTGAGAGGTAGCAGATAGAGTGATGTCCTTAAAGTGAAACTTAAAGGTTTTAAAGCATATAAAGAAAAAAAGGAAAACACACCCAGGCTGAAAGGAAACCCTGGCTAATGGGAATCTGTTTACTAATGTGGTATTTTTAGTCTTTTTTCCTTGTTTCTTTCAACAAATGACTTTAGCTGTGGCCTTACATCCTTAAGGGTCAAATTGAGACTCAAGTGCTTAATTAACCAAAAAGTACTAGATGAACATCTGCAGTTATGAACATAGTCACTTACGTTGATTTTCTTGTCTGAGATGTGAAGTGTCTTATGGGATATAGGTACATGGTGTTTGGAGACTCTACAGCCAGAGAAGCTAGAAGCCTCAGGGACTCATCCCAAGCAACGGAGGGATAACTGTCTCAAGTATGATTGTGTTAGAAGGGTGGGGACATGGGGGCAATTT